CAATCCCAGGATGTCTTTGGATAAAGTGAGGCTATTATCTCGTTTTATCCTCCTGGAGGCAGGATAGCACAGGGCTTACAACATCTGCTCCGAGGCCGGATGTCCCGTCCTGGCTCTATCCCAAATTAGCTACACAGTCTTGAGCATTTTGCTTACCACTTCCTCATCTGTAAAATGGAGCTACTGGTTCTACAAGTTTTTATAAATAATAATAGTAAAAATGTTTGTCTGAGGGCTTGACTGGCACTTTCTCACGCTCACAGTGACTCTGTGAGGTAGGAGGTATTAATGCCTTACTTTCCCCAGGTATTTTAGGGATTAGTTTAGGTTATTTATTTGGTGTTTGGTGAAGGTACCTTATCAAAGAGACCCTCTCAATTCCAAGTTTATCCCTACAGAGTAACTGTCCAAGGAAGGATCTGTTCCATGGCGTTATCTGAGGACCAGGCAGGTGAGGCAGCTGTGCCATCCACCGCCTGGGACTCTCTCTGTGTCTGGGGCAGCTGCTAATTAACCCACATGCTCAGACATAGCTCACCAGGGGGAAGAAGGGGTAAATCGACTTTCGGAGATAATTCTTAGCTGGTCCCAACAATGTATGCATAAGTCTCATTTTTCAGTAAGTTGTCAATAAGTCACAGATATTAATGTTACCTTAGTTAACATTGGTGGGCAGGGTTGACTTGTGGAAGTAGTTGGAGGAGGGGAAAAGTGAGAAACCACTGCTTGCAGCAGAAGGTAAAAACCGTGTGACTGTCCCACGGTACCTCAATTTCCCTCTGGTATTTGCTCCAATTAGTCTCTATTGTTTATAAATATAAGAGGAGGTTAAGTGGAGAGCCCTGATTTTTTCTCATGTCTCATTAGTCATTTCTAGAGTAAAGACACCTGATTCTAATCACTTTAAAAGGAGAAAGCATAATACCGGAGAAGAATTAAAAAGATATTCCAGGATCTCACACTCTTTGTAAAAGAGAGAGTGATGTGTTAGAATGCTAGATGCCTATGGGAATAGGGTTTTGTTTTTTCAAGATGTTATCCTTCCAACAATTGGAATTGAAGGAGTTCTTAGGACCTTTCCAGCACACAAAAACATATTGAAATTCCATAACTTTATAGTGTGAGCCCCATGTGAGAAGAAATCGAGGAAACTGACCTTCAGGTATCTGTGTTGGGAGGACATAAGAGCTTGGATAGCTGAGTTAATATTTGTCTTGGAGTAAGGAGAGTGACCATGTAAAATTTAAGAATGGGAAGGTGGAGCCTGTGGCTGACCCACATTTGTGGATGGAGGTCCTTTTTTTTTTTAATCGATGTATAAAAAAAGTTCTTCTTTTCTGGCTTTTGTGGACATCATAACAGCTGCCACTGATACACCTACCATGCACCATGAGGCTTTCCATGTATTAACATTGTCTGTTAATTAATGTTGTTAATTAATTAACATTGTCTGTTAATACACAGAAACGTTAAGGATCTTGTTCAAGGTTCTAGGTGGTAAGGGACAGAGCCAAGAATTGAGCTTTGCAATCTGGCTTCAGAGTCCATGCTCTGAGGGTCTGGTCATCTTTGCTTGTCCTCACCTCTGGGTTTTCTGGCTCTTGTGTCCGTATGATTCTTTTTCCATTAGTGTGGGCACAACTGTGTGTTGTATTGGTAAGTCTGTTATCCTGAAATGGCCCCAGTGGGTTCATGGATGACACCTCTGAGTGACAACAATGTTTGTAAAGGAGAGAGTGATACGTGAGAATGCTGGATGCCTCAGGAAATAGGATTTTATGTTATCACGAGGCTATCCCTGTGGCAGGGAAAGGGAAGTTTTCCTGAATTGAAGGGGTGCTTACCACCTTTCTAGCACACAGAAAGCATGTTGACATGGACCAGCATGGCTTGTTTGGGTGCCACTCAGTGGTTTATTATTTCTGTGATAAAGCATGAGGGTGAGAGAGGGGAGGCAGAGATGAGCTGCTGCTCATCCCTGACCACCTTTGTAGCCATGCCACCGAGTTCCGGCACTAGGAAGATCACTTTGTGGAGTGGAAGGTGCTGGAGGGGCTGGAGGTGGGGCCAAAGCCCATGAAAATCTAGGAAAGAGCCCAGGAGGGAGGTGATGGGGGTCTGCACAGAGGCAGTGGCACTGTAGGCTGATGGCTGTTTCAGAAAAAGAGTTCTAAAATTGCTTTGCAGGGTGGACTAGGCACTGGCATTGGTGCGTAGCTTCCCAAGGGGAGCATTTTCAAGTGACCATCGTGGTTTTCAGCAGTGAGGAAGGTGGCACTTTTTCTGGGATGAGTTCTCTAGCTTGTTAGACCTCAAAGTATGAGGTCATATGTGTGTATGTTACAATTGCAGCCACATTGACGTGGGATTGTTATTATAGGATGTCTCTTACGCCCTCAATTTTGTTTTAAGAGGACTTGGCACCCAAGGTCTTTGTTGCCACATTATCTAGCAGTCAGGCGCTGGCTCCCAACAAGCCCCACTGTAATGATCTGGACACGGTGGCTCTCACTCTATTTTAGACCCTTGAGGGTTTTCTGTAGTGAAAAACTCCATGCTACCCTTTCCTGCCGGCAACTCCCAGGCAGTATTTATACTTTGAAATGACCTCCGCTGTATACAGTAAGGCCTATCCAAGGTGTGCGAGACAGAAGCAGAACTGTGTGGACAGAATTGTGGGGTTGAGGAACCTCTGATAGGGCCATTCTTGCTAGTGATTATTCTTCCAGTTTGGTAAATACTCTTTGAGCAAATGCCAGAGAAGGAAAGACCACCAGCTATATGGGCAATCCTGTGGCCTGAGGGTAGGTGACCCAACCAGCCCTGCCAGGTGCTCAGGCCCTGAGGCCACAGGAGCTGTGACCTGGAGGGTCCACAGTGACAGGGCAGCTGATGCATGGGGCTGTGACCTGCAGGGTGAAGGGCTCAGCACCACTCTTTGCAGGCAGGCTCTTAGCCCTGGGGGTCTTTTGAGCCATAGCAACACAGGCCCACCTTATCAGGCCCTGTCCTGCCCAGCCCATCTGTATGGGAGGGACAGAGGCTGATTTCTGATGGTTTTTCTTCTGGCAGGGGCACCTTTTCCAGAAAAAACAGAGCTCACTGCCATTAGCCCCAAGGCTCCAAGCTTTTCTGTTGGCTGCTCATCACAAAGAGGCTTTGAGAATAGTGACTCCAGTGCTCTCCCTTTGATTGTGTAGCTAGAAGAAAGCGACTTACTTTCTGCCTGACTTGCTGTGTGCTTTTCTTCCCTGGACTGGGCTGGTCTTCTCTGTACCGTGGCCAACGCGATCAGCCTGTGGTGCCCTGATAGACACTGCACTTGAAGTTGATTCCGTTTTCCTTGTCGTTTCTCTGCATGAGGTTCTCCAAGAGGTGAGGGAGGGTGGCACGGACCAGCCTGGCAGTTATCTGGAAGGGCCTAGGGAGTTGACTAGGTTGATAACTTCACAGCACCACTTGTGTAACTTTGCCCAGCAGTGTCACTTGTGATAGACTCCAGAATGGGGTGTGTTCACCCCAGTGGAGGGCAAAGATGATCCTTTGGAGTGCCATAAAAAACACCCATTTTATGTTTAAAGGCTTGTGTCAAATACCCAGGGTGCCAAAAACTGTATATGCATTTTAAGGGAGGGAAAAAAAGTATTAAATTTATAATACTCAGGTCGTGTTTGACTTCTGCAGTTATAAGAGGTGATCAATGTGACTTGTATTCATTTTTTGTTATCAGTACATATTGAGTATTACAATCTTAATATAGTTTTTCCTTTCTTAAAAAGTATATACATTTGGGTGGCACCTGTGGCTTAAAGGAGTAGAGCACCAGACCCATATACTGGAGGTGGTGGGTTCAAACCCGGCCCCGGCCAAAAACTACAAAAAAAAAAAAGTATGTATGTTTTTTGCACCCTCTGAAATATACGTTTAGAAGCTGATGTTGCAGTTTGCATATGTGAATTTAGGGATAAATGATGTGTGAGTGTATGCTTAGTTTATATGTCTACACACACACTCACAAGTTCATTTTTCTTTTTTTGACTGATGGAAAACTCAAGCAAAATTTTTGTGATACACTGACCTATTGAATGTCCCTCCTCAGGGCACTGAATGTGTGTCACCTTCAGTGTTGTTCATTTTCACTTCTAGATATTCTCTGCCATTCTATAGCCACTGGTGCTGTGGGAGATGTTAAAATGACTGAGGCACAGTTGATTCCCTGATGGGAC